GATGAGGATGACGCACTCGATGGGGATCTCGCAGAGGATGGCCTGGCCGATGGCTTCGCGGGGGACGAGTTCGACGGAGAAGGTTTCGCGCCGCTGTGATGTATGTACTACTAGCTTACTCAAGTCGATGCACGACATATGTATCCCGGACGTCCTCGCGCCCGCGCGAGGCCCTACCTTCTGCGCCTCGCGCTTCAGCGTACCCGCTCGCCATCGCATGCCGCCCATGCTCCGTGGGCGCGTTGTAGGCAGGAGGATAGTAGGTGTATTGAACGAGTCCCCCAGTGGTTATACACCCCCCTGCATACTAATACCTTCCATGGCGGGAGTCTACATACTCGGGAACCGTTGGCAAAGTGTGTATACTACAGGCGCGGGGGCCTCGGGGTCTACATACGTATGCAACCGCTTATCCTGGATGTAAGGGGATGCAGACCTGACCGGCGCTTGCAGACGTCTGTCACGCTGCGACATTTTTGCTGATGCCCTTCCATACCGTGGTCCACGCCATGCAGTTCTCCTACTCCCATTGAGTAGTTTCTTTCCTATCCATCGAGCGCAGATCAGATGGAAACTATTTTTACTTACTCGGGGCCCGCAACTGCGAACTATATATGAGACATAGTAGGCTGGGGCGAGTTTGCTAAAACCTCCTACCCGCTATCACTCGGCTGAAATGAGTTCTCTTCCGGATCCTGCTCCCGATGGTATGGCCCAGGACACATGGAATATCATACAAGTCGCGGTGATATATCAAGTGTACGTATCTCCCTCTGAGCTATGCAGCCGCAACGGTGACCCTTAGCCTGTTCCGTCTTTACAGCAAGACACAGTCGTATCTTCTAATGACCAGTACCGGTATACTCGCCTTATTAAATGGGCCTAATTTCGCATATTTTGCCGAGAAATGACATACATCATCATATAGTTCTTCTTATATGGCATTATCTCTTGACTTTCGACAAGGAAGTCGCTTTCTTTTGGAGACGAAAGTTCTCCGGCGCGAGCGCTCTATTTTTTGCCAATCGTTACCTCACCCTCTCCGCCGCTGTGTGCAATTACCTCGGGTTGATGTTATGGAGGTGGCTCGACGTAACCACAGTAAGCCCACCTGATTCTTCACATGTAAAGTTCGATCGACTTACGTGTTCACAGGAGCAGTGCGTGTCTTATTCTCCATGTGACAAGTGCGTGTCAGTGCCGCTAACTTTTCCGCAACCACCGGTGGGATGACAAGATCGACTGCAATATATATAACGAAGTTCTTTTTCACATACTCGCAGTACGTGGTCTGGGCAGGTGATTGTGTAAAATCCCAATTCACCCTGGCCACGATGCGCTGACATTTGGCGAACAGTGTTCTCCTCTCTCCGTGCGTATGCCCTACAAAGGCAGTGGATATGGGCAGTTGTTGTCCTCGTCCTCTCTCTTGTTCTAGTCGCGACTGAGGTGGTAAGCAGTTTCTGATTTATTGCTTGTCTGATATCCAACAATATGACGGTCTGCAGGCGACTACTATTGAATGGCCGGCGACTACCGGGGGCACCAGCCTTCTTCCGGAGTATTTGGAAACAGGTACTACATCGGCGAAGTTTTCTACAGGGTACGCGTTTCCGCCCCTTTTTTCCCCTCAGGAGTGAACTGACAGCTCCAAATGACATAGATGTAATTCACGCTCGATACTATCATACATTCAAGCTCTCTGACGACTCATGGCGATTGACATGCACTCCTAGTAAACATTGTCTCTCGCATATCCCCAATCATGGCGGAAACAATTGTTATGATTATCACGTGGATGAAGATGAGCCACTATCGACACAACAAGCGTGGAAGAGCCCAATCGGGGTCCAAAACGCAGCTGACACTATCAAGCATCTTTTACGAAAATGGTGAGTATACACGAAATCATTGGGTAGAAGGATCACATTTAGGCTGACATCAACGACAACTACGTGTTCTCGGACAGGCAGAGTGTACCTTCTGTGCTACCCGGTATTCATACAGCTATGGCGTCTTCACTAATAGTCGCACCTCCAGTTTAACGGCTCTCGTGCACTCACTATATCTTGTGGTTTTCCTGCTTCAAATTTGGGTGCGTGTGCACATACATCCCTCTGTTATCATCCGCCAAGCTAAACTAAAGATGGACACCATAGTTTCAAGCCGACTCGCAGGCGGGCGAAACTTTAATGATTTGTATGTCATACAGCGTCTGGTTTGCGGAGCCGTAAGCACTGCCTTCCTCGTCCTCCCCTCTGAGCCATCTTAACGATCCTACTCAACCGTGCTTATGCCTACCTCTAGCATCATTGCGATTAGTGTGAACCATTTCCTAATCTCACTCCAAGAAGCCGCATCCGCGAATGTACCACTTTCCGGAGACACGCCCTCGCGCTCCTGGTCCGAGTTCCCCAACATTCAAAACTCTACCGGGTCCGGCTCCATCAGTTTGTTGCAATTTGCCCGTGCAGACATCGACGAGTGGATTCATGCAGATTCCGCTCATCCTGATATCTCTGATGACATGGAGTCGCACAACGTAAGCTCCGACTCGTACGGGGGGCAATGGGGCAACGAGTGTTCGGTGCTACCAAGGGCCCGACAGCAAGCCAGCATCCCAGACGGCGACGACGCGGCTTAGAAGACGGGGACGGAAGGAGAGCAGGGACGGAGCGGGGCGTGGGGTGGGCCCAACGGGCGATAGCAGTCTGATATTGATTCCAGTTCGTGTCGCGCATTTTCTTGTATCGGTGCTCCTCTTTATAGGAAGCTCGCCCACACATTCTTGATCCTCGAACCAACTTGGCCTACACCGCGCACTCTCTACAGCCTCTATGTGCGCCACCCCTGACCGCCAGGATAGAAATGGGAGCATGTTCGCACATTCGCCGCACGCTAAGTAAATATCTACGTCAGGGCAGTCGAAGCACAGGTCGACCCGCGACGACGCGTCCGCCTCGGTGTGACGCGCGAGCATGGCAGCAGGTGTTGCAGGCGGAAAAAAGGACACCACACTCGAGCACAGCATGATGGCGGCAGTGCCCTCAGGCGGGTCGCGTTGGCTACTCAAACACTCTCCTAGTTTCATAATCATCGCACCGACAAATGGGCGGGCCGGTCTCGCAAACCATAGTACTGCGCTCAAGAAACCTGCAGCAGAGCGGGCGAGCGACGCGGACCGTCTCCTCTACTTTCCAGATTGCTGCAGCCTCAGGCATGCTCCGACATAGCCCAGTTATTGCCGTCCGCGCGGACGAGGTCGTGCGTCCCTGGGGACGACACCGCCGACACCCCGGACATCGTGTTCCGAGCACGGTCCTCATTGATGCTATCGTTCTCGACGGAAACCGCAAACTCGACCATCGAGAGCTCCATCACAGTCTCGCCGCGCGCGGCCTCCTGAAGGTTGATCAGGAAGTGCGTAAACGTGAGCGCGGTGAGCCTGTGTCGCGTATTCCCGTCGAAGAGCGATGATCAGCGGAAGTGGACTCGAGGCGGCGCCGGAGGTACGTACGGCTCCATGAAGACGTCAAACGCGGGTGTTGCGCGCGCGACTGCGCAGTCTTCACATGTCATCTGTCAGACGTGTTCGGACGGTCAGAAGTCTGTCGTCCTGCGAATCGGAGAAGGGCAGATGCGCACCGAGAGTAGAAGGAGAGCGGCGTAGATTGCATTCAGAAGAGTCAAGAATCTACGACATGGCGATGAGCGGCCCCCGGAAGACAGATGTGATATATGCGCACACGTACGCGAAGTAGATCCCGCCTGAGAGAGGTACCGGAACGCATGTTAGTCAAACACAATGAGGATGTGACGATCATGCGCGCAGACTCACTGTTTTCGTAGAAGACGCTCGACAGCGTCCGCCCGCGCGGCGCGTGGACTCGGAGGACATCTAGTTCGTGGACACAATCTCGCGTCTCCCTCCAGGTTACGACGAATACGATACCCTCGGCTGCGACAAGTGACACGCGCGATGCGAGGTCCACTACCAAGGCGCGAGGACAAGAGACCATTAGCAAGCCGACCAATAGGTGACGGACATGCATGTCTCACAGCTGATAGAAACGAGTAAGCTATAGCGTGCGTAGGAATGAGAAAGAGTGGAGATTTAGAGACGCACATTTTAAACAGTTTATAGGCTATGCGATCCTCGACGTCGCATCCGACAGCCGGGTCAATATAAACGCGCGAAAATCCTTCTCGAGTCTGTAGTCACTGTGTGTAAGTGCCATGCTCCGCCCACCCGACAGCGCGCCGGCGAGATACTCACAGAATAAACTGCGACCGGAACCAGTGAGAGCAAGAGGACGAACGCTGCAACTTTCCATCGCCCACTCTGTAGCGCATAGACACGCAGGCACGAGAAGGCTGTAACGTAGCTCAGCAACATGCGGCGCCCGCGATATGCTATAACAGCAGTCGAGCGCTTACCGGCCCAGATGACGTACTGCAGAATCTCGAGCACATAGAGCAGGCGAATGGCCGCTGCGCATCTGCTCGTACACGGAGCTGCGTGGGACGATGGTGTCGGGGCACGGCGTGTGTTTACTCACCTCTGTACATGAACGTTGGGTTAAGCTCATCAGATTGCTCGATGATTTGGCGGAACTCACCGCGTAAACAGTGCTGTAGGACCACAGAGGGGCGTCGTATAGGGCTACCGCTAGCGTCAGGTAGCGATTCGCAAAGAAGAGAGCAGATGGCCCCGAGAAAACGCGTCCCCAAAAGAACGTGACTTCCTTGTCGAAAGTGAGAACGTAGTGCCAAAGAAGTAGGACTGTCATGAGTTAGTCAGCGAAGCGGCGGAGACGTACTATCAGTGAGTAGGAGCGGCATCTATTACGCACCGGCTGCCGAGACAGCGCCATAATCCTGTATAAGACTGAGATCATTTGTCAGGAGCGGTCTGGTGACCGAGAAGGCGGATGAGGGACATACAACTCCTGGACCGAAGCGATGATTGCGTCGGGGGTAAGAGTCGAGTTCATGGGCCAAGTGATTGAGTCGCTGGACTATTGGTGCAAGACGCATGCGTAGTAATAAGCGGCGCACTGGGGGAGCAGGGTCGCGAAAGCCCCGGTAATCGACACTGTTCGCAGTAGCGAACTTTCCTCAAACCGACGACACTCCTGCGCTACTCCTGCGCGTGGTACTCACAATGACAGATAGGCGACCAACCGCAGCCGATCGAAGCTTGGTGGTGGCGAAGGGAGGAGAGCATTCAGCACTAATCAAACGGATGACGACGTACAGTGCACGGCCCTTCGAGTGCATTTCTCTGCGCTGCGTGGACTCGGATCTCCTGTCATGGGGCACATACTACTTGGCTGAGTAGTCGTAGCAGCTGCCACTGGTAGTGAAGCGTAAGTGCCTCTGTGAATGCTCGGAACCGAGTCGGCGGCGTGCGGCGTACCTCGTCATGTCTGGCTCCAATATTAATTGGCGTCTCGTGCTGAAGATGGGTTGCAGATACTGATAGCATAGGAAACCTGATGGTCGCTGGCAACTCACAACCGCGACCGGGCTGGCTGGTGGCAAGACAAGAGACTTGCAGCTGAAAAGCTGGGCGCAGGCGACATCTCCGGCCGCGCCGAGGCCGGCGGTGCGGCCCGGGGTCACCGGTTATAGATAAACGCCGAATTCTGCCGGTGCTCCTACCAGTACGAGTCCGCTCGTTCTCTCTTTCCTCCTCCTCCTTCCGCCGCATCCTGGCCCATGGCACTCTGAGCTCGATTCCTCTGGCTACTGGTTGCAAGTTGTACTCAAATCAATATCAGCTGCGGACCCGTTCCCAAACTACACCGTGCTTCCCCCAGGTTCCCACCATATCCTGGTTATCATTTTCTTCTGGTGCGACTCATGCGGCTTCCCTCTGCGCACTAGAGTACGCTGTCCGGATCTTGGTGGACGTGTGGCGTTCTCCCTCGGCCGCAACACAACGCCTGATTCTGTAGCCGGTCACCCTCTGAGATATCCATGCACCTCTGCTCACTCGACGCTCATTCTTGGACGCTTCACAAGAGCGCTTCGTCCCGCACGAGCTACGCGCTGCACAATGCAACAATCGACTCGATGACCACTGGCCAGTGTCGTGTCTTGGGCCGCCAACATGAATGTCACCACCTCCGCTAAAAGTACCGTAGTTGTTGAGACGGAGGGCGTCCTGTGCGTACCTCTTTCCTCAACCGTTTGAACCTGCACGAGCTATATTCCCGGCTTCCTTGTCCCTTAGCAAGGCATAGTACTACTGCGCTACTGCAGCATCGCGTAAGTACCACACCGTTTCTCGCCTACGACCTCTGATTTGAGCCGTACACGCCCCGCTGCCCCCGTCGACTACGCAGCCGCTATCATATGGCGCTATCTCCTCACATTCGACGAGGAGCTTGTTTACATCTGGGGACGCGGGTCTTCCGCCGCTCGCGCCCTTTTCCTTGCCATCCGGTACGGCGCGCTCGGTGCTGCCATATACAACACGTTATATTCGGTTCCGCCATGCAACGTCACATACACTGTGAGTACGGTCATGTATCTCCTGTGGTTCTATCTCGCGTTGTGCTCAATCTGCATGTGCGTTTGAAGGAGTGAGTCTTTCAATTTAAACAATGTCTACGCTTGCCTCACCATCATGACGCCGGTGCGGACGGAACGGGAAGATGTGCTGCGATACTGTGCATCACGTATATCTTCCACGCAGTATGTCGTCTCGGTAGGTGCGCACTGTTCATACTCTACGATTGCGTGTCGCCTTAAGCCATTGACGGCCTTGGTATAGCGTTTTCCTGTCTCCGCCTGTACGCGCTACAGATGCGATTGCCCTTGCTCTGTCACTTACTACAACCGTCGTTGATGCGGTAGGCATGCTTCGTCCATCCGTGTTTCGTTTAGTGCCGCTCATGTGACGATGGTACAGTCGCGTTTAGGACAGTTCACCCAAATTACGGTTGATCCGGAGAATGGCTGCGGGGTATTGGTCATCCCGCGCAGCTGCTGTCTCAGAGGTAAGTGCCGACACTTTGTTCAGTGCTGTTCGTTCATTCAAGTACGAGCTGCCGTCAGTGCTTCCGCATTTGCCTAAGCAAGACCCGCGTGTCCGCCGCTAACTTCGTGGACGTTGCTTCGTGCGTGTCCCTCGTTACCGCGGAGGTAATCGTCATGTTCATCACCTGGGTGATGACGTACCAAAACCATCGCCGCCGGGGTGTTGTCCAGGCCTTCGGGAGGCCGGTGTCACTGGCAAATGTCCTCTACAACGACGGTAAGCCCGTATACGCCATTTGCGCAACGAATCCCACTCTAATGTGGACGGCTACACGTGTGGCGACAGGCAGAGTGTATTTTGTGACGCTCTAGTCCATACGTGCAACGGTCCATCGCTGACGACACGCGCAACTGCGGATTGAAAGCTCTTTCGAGTACGTTCAAACTTGCGTGCCTAATACTTCTGTTGAAGGTATGTACCTCACGCTCTCCGCCGCTGAACAGACACTTAAACCCGCCAACAGGAGCGCGCGATTGTCATCGCCACCGACTACACCTATATGGTCGTCTCCAGCACCGCGCCGTAAACCCTATCCCCGCTCCCCTCCCAGAGCCCAGGCTCTCACCGACATTCCTCTCCTCATCCCTTCCTCTCCTCATCGCGTTGCTCGTCGACCGCTGCCTCCCCGAGCTCCAGGCCGCCGCGGCCGCGCACGTCCACCTTTCCGGAGACGGCACGGCGTCACCTGGGTTTGACGCTTCCTCCGGGTCGCCGAGTCTGCTCGAGTTCGTCCGCGCGGACGTCGACAGCTGGATCTAGTCCGATTCTGTATCTCGCGCGCTCACTGAGGGAACCGCCGGGGGCGCGGTGGGACGAGGCGCACATTGCGGTGTTGCAAACAGGCCACCACGTCGACGTCTCGGGCAGCGGCGGTACGGCGTGGGGCGCAGACACGTCAGATGGGGCATCAGGGATGAGGCTATGTCCCCTTCAGTGACAGTTGCTTGCCAGGTACGTACATGCACCACTTATGCAAGAGCGGTGGTAATTACGGCAGGAGGAAGGGAGGACAGCGGATTCGACACGCATGGGCGTGGCTCCTCCGTACCTCTCGGGACCCTGCGACGTATCTCGTTTGCGCTCCTAAACGTCGATCACTACGTCTTTCAGCGATAGATGTGTGTCTTATAACACTGGACCCGCATATTTGCAGATACGTGAGGAGTCATGGAGAGCACACGCTACATCCCTTCGGCTGATGCGCTATCTTACCGTACCAAAGTCTATCAGTAGAAGCGCGAACATGTACCTCCGACTCCACACCGGACCATCTTACATCTGTCATGCCACACTTCAACGCTGAACTTAAATGGGTAGAACGCTCTCCCAATTCACCTCATCTTGCTCATCGCGTCTCCCAACTCTTATCAAGAAACCGGTGTATCCCAAGGCGTCTCGCGCATCGAAAGCTATATAAGACCTTTTCTTGTAGTAGCACGGGCATACCACCATCATTCCCAGATAGCAGCGTGACCAGCAGTCCTGCCGATAAACGCTACCGAAATGGCAAGTTTGGTATGGGCCACTCAAGATTACCTGTGCGTATCTTCCTTTGAATATCGACGCAAATATAACCAACAGCTTGTTCCATTTTCTCAGCATAGTACAGCGATACCTCTGCTGTGCCACCCTCGGTAAGCCCGCAGCCTGCCAATAGGTTCTGCGCCGGCGCAGCCGTCTGATTGAGCCTGACGATACAGCTCTGCTCGTATGGCACTATCTTCTGACCTTTGAAAAGGAGATCACTTTCTTTTGGAGACGGAAGTTCTCCGGCGCAAGTGCTCTTTTCCTCACGAATCGCTACCTCAGTCTCGCGGTCGTGATATACAATCTTCTATCCAGAGAGTTGTACACTCCAAGCGAATCGGTGGGTTAATCACCATTCATGGTCCGTAGCAGTACTAAATCAACTACAATGTATACAGGGAATGTGAGTGACCTGGTTTTGCAAGGCACGTATAAGCACACTGCTGACAGGCCTACCGTGATTTTCCTAGAGAAGCGCAATGCCCTATGGTAGTCGTCACACAGTACGCTCTTCAGTACTCGCAGTACATCGTCTGGGCAGGTGCACATTTACATCAAAATATCTTTCCACGCACACCTCAAAGCACTGACTGCCGGGGCGTAGTGTTCTCCGCTCTCCGTATCTATGCACTTCAAGGGCAATGGAGATGGGCGGCGGCCGTCCTCGCCCTCTCGCTCGTCGTGGTCGCGAGTGGCATGGTGAATACAACTTGTCGTGTGTGTTTTACTCCAGTTGCGGTGCTGATTAACATGACAATCTGCAGTTCAATATATCGTTGATCTTTGCACCATACAGCACCGCCAACGTAGGGTTTGGCTGTGAAGCAGTTCTTCCAATGACGTTGGATCAGAAGTACGCACTACGGCTCCGCTCCCACTTACGTTCACAACTTCTGACCTATCTATCCCAGCTGTGAGTGTCGCCACAAATTTACTACATCACCGGACCCATTGACTCAGTCGCCACGTCAGTGCAAATTGCCTCTCGTGTGTCTATCATCACAGCAGAGACCATCATCATGGCAGTGACCTGGATGAAGATGAGCTACTACCGTCACAGTAGGCACATGAGCTCGGGATTTCGGAGGCAATTGACCTTGTCGTCCGTGTTCTACGAAAACGGTGAGCCTGTACGCTTTCCAGAATAAATGTGAAGCTGATATCGGCAATGGCAACGCGGCGTGCGATAGGCCGGGTCTTCTTCTTGTACTGCAACCCCGTAATGCCTACGCCCATCCGTGATCGTTACTGACGGCAATCCAGATTGACGACACTGATGCATACATGCTATCTTGTGATCTCGTTGGTCGTGGTGCGTGTGTGATAGTGACCGCTGTTTCTATTTGACGGACGATGAAGTCTAAATATGTTTCTCCCAGGCATCCCATGCTTCGGACGACTCAAATAATTCGACACTAATTCTCATGTTCTGGATGGATGAAACAATGTTCTCTTTTGTCGGGACAGGGGCCTTATTCCTTGAACCGTAAGTCTACAGCCTATCTTTACGCGAGCTCTTACCGACTCCCCATTGGACACCGAAACCGCTGCTAGCTTCCTCGCGATCCTCATGAGCTATTGCCTCATCTCACTCCGGGAAGCTGCTGCTGCGCGCCCCGTAGACACCCTCTCGCTCTCCTGGCAGGCACCCTCTCCCACAAAGGACGCGTCCGAATCGGGCTCGGTCAGCCTGCTACAATTCATGCGCGCGGACGTCAACGAGTGGATGCAGGCCGAGTCCGTGCCATCCTCCCTCTCTGACAGATTGCCGTCGCAGGGCGACAGCTGCGTGGTGTCACGATGGGACGAGGAGTGCATTGTGGCTCTGCAGACTGTCCAAGAGCGCATCAAAAGCTCGAACTATCAGTGCGACGTCACGATGTAGGGCGCGGAGACGTAGATAAGACGTGGAGGCGAGTCCTCGAGAGTAGACACAAGATATTCGATCGGATTCACGTCGCGCAGGTTCTCGCATTGCTCGATCCATCCGGCGGAGAGCCCCGCATTTGATTCATCTGAGATTCACATCGACGCATGGCGCAGATACAGATAAAGCTATGTATGCACACTACTCCAACATCCTTGTGCGAGTGCACATCGATGTGCCAAAAACCAAGCCCCCCCGCCCTGCATACGCGCACCCCCGTACTATTCTGACGCCCTCACTCGCCTCGCGCCCTCGCTCTCCCATTCCCCTTCGTTGCTGCAGCCTTGGGTTGAACATAGGTTCGAACGTACGCCCTTCAACGCGGCTGCGCATAGGTACCCTCTGCGCCTCCGAGTCATCGCACTTCCTCCTGACATGCGTTCTCACTGACAACTTCGTGGTATTACCAAAGCCTGTTGACCTCATCACCGTGTGCACCCGGGAACCATGTCAGCCTCAGTAACTCGTTCTGGTGATGTATTCCAATCCAGTCTCTGCACGTGCCGGAAACTGATTCGGGTAGAGGTAATCCATATATGAGCTCGTCAACATGGAAGCTAAAGTCGGAGAATATACCACTGTTCCGGGCTGCGTGACGATCAGATGCTTGCCTAAGAATTTGAAGAAACAGCGCAGGAAATCTATTGATATCTATCAGGTTCATTTATTCAAGTGCTCATGCAATATGTTGTTGTGCATACCACGTCATGAATCCTCTTTCCATCGACTCTTCACCACTTCTCGTGAGCCGGACGGACTACGGGGCGAGGTCAGTGACGGACGGAAGGAATGCGCAGACAGTCACTACTCACGATCGAGCTCCCACGTCCACGCGGATTTGTCCTGGCTCGCCAGATAGAGGTAGCTCTGCAGCGACGTCCCCGCAGTCAGTGCATGCCTCGGTCTCGTTCAATAGAGGAAATCTGACGCTTACCTTTGCGATGCTCTCGGGGTCGAGGCGAGTGTTCGCGTCCTCTTGGTAAGCCTTCCTGGAAGCCTCGTCGGTTTGGCGCGAAAGCGACAGATCGGTCAGGATTCCTGCATATGACAAATGGTGAGCACCGCCATTTCTATCGTGCGACGTAGAAGATCTAACTCGCCTCCGTCGATGATAGCCTGGCAGGCGAAAATGAGGGCCCGGGTCAATCAGCATTTTTGCCCAGAAGCCTCGCACTCTGTAGCACGTACGTGAGCGACCTACGGAATCGTCAGTGTCAACTACAAGAACAAAACGTGAAAGCATAGCAGAAACGCACATGGATGTTCTGCGGCCCAAACTCCTTGTTCAGGCTCTGGCTGAGAGCACGCTGCGCGAACTTGCCCGCCGCAAACGCGCTCGTCGTCACGTTCCCGCGGAGACTTCCCGTCGCGCCAGTGAATATGAGCGTGCCACGCTTCCCCTGCGCGTCGAGCGCGTTCTTCTGAAACGCAGTTATAACCTGGTGCGCAAACGCGAATGCGCCATGCACGTTCGTGTCCGTGACCTGCGTGAGGTCCGCCTCGGTGATGTCGAGGAAGCGCTTGCGCACTCCGACGCCTGCGTTCCAGAGCGCCGCGCGGATCTCGGGCGCGGGGCCGTCTGCGGTCCACGCATGCGCGCGGATGGCACCGAAAACGTCGGTGAGCGACTGGTAGCTATACGACTCGATGGGGAATGCAACAGCCTACGAGAGCGCTGGATGTCAGCGAGCAGTACGGAGAAAAAGTAACGGGAGACCAATTTGGGGAGATGATCGAATCTGACCTCGCTGCCGGCCTGGATGAGCTCATCTGTGGCCTTCTGAAGCTTGTCTCCGCCCCGAGCAATCAGTGCGACGCGGTATCCGGCCTGGGCAAACACACGGCTAAGACATAGTAGGCAGCGCAGTCAGATACAAGTCTGACAGAAGAAGACGGACAGCGGAGTAACGCACGCAGTCGCACCACCTGTACCTGCCAGACACGAGGTTGATGAATTAGTGGTGTTCAAGCTCAACAAAAGCTACTCCTCAGTCGGAATATAGCCATCGTCTATTGCGTACCTGAGCCGTTCCCAACGCCGGCGATAACTATGATAGGACGAGTAGACATGTTTGGCGGCTGACGAGGGTCTTTTCGCTACAATGAGAAGTCAGCGAAGCGATAGGCTCAAAGACCATTACTCACAGTTTAAGAGAGGGATTCTGAAGTGCGTTGTCGGTTCGACCAGCATAGGGACATTATATAGACCGTTGCACTGAGCACGCGAGGACGCAAGCCCGCCTGACGCCGAGATGCGTAATGCGGGACTCGGGCTGTCGTGATAGAGGAGTTCGTCATCTGGACCGAGTGGCCGAGCTTCGTAAGCACGGGATAGAAGCACTGGGACACGGCAGCAGTAGGGTGCTGAGAGATGGCGTGCTGTTGAGCTCATAGCCTCGTAGACGTCTGGCAGAATCAAGACCAACGTCCAGCGAACGGGAGAACAAGAGCAGTTACAAATTATCGGAGTTATGCATAGAATTGCGAAAGTGCCGCATTCGTGGGCTTCGAGTGTAATGCTGTGAAATGCGAAGATTGAGTACGGGTGCAACGCGCGTTCGAGGATACGTACTAGTGCGGATCGAGACATGATACACCTCCGTGTCGTCTCCTAAACGTGCATATCATTGTGTAGTGCTTCCTCATCCTCGCCGGCATCGCTAACTTGGGCAAATTGTATGTCTAGGTCGGCCGGTCTGGAGGCGCGCTCCATGCCTATCGAATTGTTGGTGTTGATGTCCATGGACGTGACAACGGCGGTCTGTTGTAGGTCGAAATAGAGACACGTGAATAGGATCGAAGTTAGGCTGTAGTTCGAGGGATTTTAGAGCACAGGAAGGGTTGCGCAGGAGAGGAATATAGAATAAGCGGGACGTACGGCGCCACGAGAGTGAGTACGGCCGTGCCCCGTTGTGCCTGCCAGCGCCGTGTAATGGTAGGTTGCGGAGAGTGTGACACCCACTACGAGCACCTCGGAGAGAAACCAACTGGAGTACCCAAATACGCTCGCTGCTCGCCAAGAGGTATTTAGAACAGCTTGAATGCGCAATCGTCTGAGAGCACTTACAACTAAGGTATGTCAGGGAGAAGGCGAGACGATAGAGCGAGTTTGAGAGAGGGAGGAACTTGAAAGATGGGGCAAACGAACATCTCGTACACCTCAAATGGGAGGCGGCTCGTATCCGGCGTACAGCCATTAACAGGGCCGATCTTTGGTGTAACGTATTTGGCGAAGACCTGTATGTGCACCCGGTATCTCAGCATTCGCCCTCGATCTTGTATGTTGGAGGGATGGGATAGAAATGAGAAAACACTCACATCAATGCTACAGAAGATCGGGATGAGCCCAAGAAGAAAGACGAGCACCGCGAGCAGTTTTCTCCGGCTGACGGCATATGCTCGGAGGGAGGCTATAGCTGCCATTGACGCCGTTTGCGAATCAGAAACGATGCCATCGAAGCAAGAACCCCACGATGAACTATCACGTACCTGCCCAGAGACCGTACTGCAAGTACTCGGGAATGTACTGGGATATTATTGTCGCTGCGCAGCTAGGCGATGTTCTTGTACATCAAATTGTGGCATTCGGAGCGTCGAGAAAACGGAAATGATCGCGACGTACCCCTATATGCAGAGATTCGAATGTCGGAATCATATGATGGAGAGAGCACGTTGAACACACCGTTATATCGGTGCTCGGGCCACCATGGCGCCTGATATGCGTAGACGACAAGCGGCAGGTAGCGGTTCCCGAAGAAGAGTATCCACGCGAGCGTGATTCTCCCCTTCTGCGCGACAGCCTTGCCCCAAAGGTGCGTGACCTCATCGTCGAGTGTTGTGATGTAGTGGTTAGCAAGAAGGGCTGAAAGAAGTGTAGAGACAATCAGCGACGTCTGTGTAAGTAGAGCGACTAGCGGACGAACCGATGGCGCTGGTCGTGCAATAGCCTTGCATAACACTGTAAACAAGATGAGAAGATTCCGACGAGGAGTAAAACGTGGACGTACTTGAAGTCTAGCTCAGAGATATATGCGGCGATCTCTACGGCAGCGGCGGCTTGATCAGATGCGGTGGTAGAGTTCATGTCAGCGACGGAGAAGGGAGCAGTCGCAGGGCCGAAAATCAGGGGTGGTGCACTGAGCATATAGATTCCTTTGAATGCGGAAAGCCGGGAAGTGAGATGAGGGTCACCTGGACCTCACACAAAGGCAAGCTAGTTAGCCTGCCGTACCTACCCCCCTTTGCCAGGCTAATTAGCCTCGGCGCCCCCTTTACCTGCAGGGGCCAATAAAGGCTCGATAAAGAGCTATTAGCTAAGCCCAGGGGGCGCCCGCAAGGCCAGCCACACGCTCTAGGAGCCGCCGGCGCCTGCTGAGGCGGGCGCGTGCCTCCCGCCCGGCGCCAAAGCCCCGGCGGGACCGTGCTCGCTGTCCGCGACAGCGAGCTCGCTATCTCCCCCGGTTCTGGGCCGTTTCGCTCCGTTTCTTTTGTAGTACCACTTTATATAGGTTTATAATGCGCATCGCGACGTTTATA